TTTCATTGTTGCTACACTGCACCCGACTGGCTCATCTCCTCCCCCTGACCCCTGTGTAAGGGGATGTCTACAGATGGGTTTTGGGAGGGAGGAACTCTTTATGGGAGTAGAAAGCCCTGTCTTTCTTCTGAGGAGTGGTTAGTGGTTTCAAACTGCTGATCTTTCGGTTGTCTGCCCAACGAGTAACCACTTCATCAGCAGGACTTCATAGTCGATACTAAAGGAGGAGAATTTTAGAGAGTTTCTTTCTTGAGTGGCAATTAAGTGTGCTCTTAACAGATGATATGGCTGTTAATTATAGACGATTCAATCTTAAATTTATTTCAAACCACAGCAACCTTGAGAAATAAAAATTGGACTATGATATAAAAGCGGTTGCTACTGAGTTGATTCTGACCCAGGACAGCCCATGCGTGTCATAGTAGAACTGACTCGCTGAGACCCTACAGAGTCTTCGAGGGCAGGCTTTCTGGAGTAGGTCTCCAGGCCATTCTTTGGAGATATGTCTGGGGGACTCAAGCTTGTAGACTTTTTTAGCAGCCAAGTAGTCATCTGCATTAACCAAGAACTCCTAGGCTGTAATATAACTAAAGTATGTACTTTATGCCCGTCAGTACTTAGTATGCTTATTAGCATCTACAGAGACAGTGAGCGAACACTTGTAATTGAGGACACTTGTGCACCCTAAAAGCACTTTTAGAAATAGGATGTGGAACATTCTGTTTGTCTTAGTTCTTCATATGGACTTAGTTTATGTGTTTGTTGAGTGAAGGAAACTTTCCATTTATCTACACATACACATATATAAATGTGTTGGATGTTTCTGACCCGCGGAAGCAAGTAAGCTTCTTTCAAGTAGATGTAACTTCCCCTTCGGCTTTCACAGGTTCTATCATCTCTTTGCCCAGGACAAATGTACTTTCACAACTAGGTAAAGGCTTTGCAGGTAGCTGGAGCAGTCTATTAAGCAGGTGATTCTCCAAAAGCCAAACTCACTGCCAATGTGTTGGGGTAGCCTCGTAGCCACCCTTGAG